AATCTTAAAATTTAAATCTACAAAAATACAAAAAGGAAGATAAAAAGTTATTTCTATTTTAAACTCATATGGGGGCTCTATACCGTTTACAGACCTGCACATAAACTGATATTAAAAAAATAACAACCAATCCAACGCTAATGCCAAAGACAAAAATAAGCAGAACTAACCAGGGACAAAAATAGGAAATAACATCCACAGCTCTAAGGCTAGTTAACTATTTTAAAAACTACTTTTCCTCTACGAGTAAAACACAAATAACAGAAAAAGACTAAAACTAGCAGAAAGTTATAAATAGCGGAAACTACAAAATACTCAGCACGGAACCATAAAAATTAAAAAGGACACTAAATTTCAAACATCATAGCCCTGGCCTATATAAATAATATAAATTAGATAAAATTAGGTCAAAAATTAGATCTAGGAGCGCCAGCTCACATAACTAAGCTTACATTTATAAGTAGCGCATAAAAAATTACCCAGGTCAAGTAGAAAATACCTAACACGAACTTTACTAAACGAACGGCAACTTCAAAACAGAAGCATCTATTTAGAGTTTAGAGTGAATTTGACGCAAAGGGTGGTCAAAAATAAAATCATTTATGATAATCTCTTACTCTAATGAATTATATCTACCATAACAGATTGTCTGTAAATGGTTAAAGTTTGTATCGATTTGTTTATAAAGAGCTAAAAAACATTTTCTAATCAACACGGGTAAATCGCGCTCGTTCGAGGCGTAAAATCCTTCTTTGTCTCATTTTATTTTGTAGGCATTGCAGGATGCGCGAGAACGCGCGAAAAGAACCCGTTGTCTATACGGCTTTGTAAAAAATAAGTCAGCGTTCTTTTAGTATAGTTCCATGATTTGATTGAACAATCGTACCTTATTTATATTTATTTTAAAAAAACATAAACAACAAAACATAACAAAACAATGACAAAACATTTAAGATATTAAAAAAAAAAGTTAATAAGCAGATATAGCCTTCACCCTTTAAATAGGAATTTCACCTTGTCAGCTTCTTCAAAGGATCCCTTTAAATGGTTGAAGAGAAATGAGTAGTTTCTTGATTATTGTGTCAGTAGTTTGCTTGTCATGACTTATTATATGACTAATGTTTTTTCTATTTTCTTCTACTATTCTGTAAATTGTCGTCTAATGATTTAAATAAGGTCCTCTCTGTCCAATAAATTGTCAGCTGATGTTTTGGTCTTGTCTTCTATTGTCCAGCGAATTGTCAGCTGATGTCGAGTATAAGATTAAACTATTTAATGTAATAGTATTTTTGTAGAAGGAAAATCATTTGTGAAAATGGTAATTAAGACCATGTTCATTCTCCAATCCATGACAAACGTTTATTGCAGTCTTTTCATTTCCTCAATGCTTCATTATTATATGGTGTCTTGCCAGTAAGTTTCCTCAATCTGAGTTACTTAGAGTCCTAGAGATCTAACTTGATTTAAAGCTACATATGCGTGTCCATTCGCAAACAGCAATGCTTCCAAATCATATCACAACAAATTTTTTACTCCACTGTACTGCCATGCATTTTGTGTATCGTGGAGACTCATTTCTTCTGTGAACTGTAGCAGAACTCTATTTTGCGTCAAAAGTTATTGTACCTCCCGATCAATCTGAGTTGAAGTCAATCGGTGAGTTGAAGTCAATCTAGTTTTGTAGAAGGTTAAAGTATTACGTTACGTTACGTAACGGCTGAAGGGAGAGATGGAGGTTACGATTTGTTACAATGGGAAATTTGGGGAGGGGGGTTGTCGCAACTATCTATGTAGTTGCATAGTTAATATGTTCACGGTTTAATAGCGCCGATTGCGTCAATAGGTGATGACGTCATTCGCGCTATTTTATTTTCTTGTGTACTTGTTGCTCTCCCCTTGTCGCTTCGTCATAAATTTTTCATATGACGTAAAACTTTTTTTCTTAGTCGTTTGGTGCATTCACGCCATATTGCTCGATTGCAGCAGATTGTATCTTGTGAGCTCTTGAATTCTCACTGTGTCTTCGGTACTGGATAGCCTTATTGTTGGCCTTGGTATATATTCTTGAAGGATTATTTTGAACCCTGTTTAGGGTGAGTTTTATTTCACATTGTAAGGTTATTCTTAATATGTATTCGGTCGTATAAATTCGTATTCTGCAGTTAGATTAGAGGAATCTGTTATTTGTCTGTCTATAGGGTCCAGGTTTACGTCTCAGATTTCAGGACTGAGGTTCGAGTCTGAGGTTCCAGATTCCAGATTGGGGTTTTCTATATTTAGACTTCGTGTTACATTTTGACGTTGGGAGTTTTGTTACTACTCTGAACTTTGAATCTTCATCATGGGTGAACATTCGTCCTGGCTAGAAGATACCTATGTTACCTTGAACAGTTTACAGAGTCTTTGTCTTGAAATGGAATGTTGATGAGGTCAATAGCATTTTAACTTGTAAATATACTATTTAAGTATTTAATTGAACCATTTAATACTATATATATGTACTTTATATTTATTTATCATTATCATTGGTCTTATGCCTTTTTTATTGTATCAATATTATTAGATTAAATTTATATTTTTAATTTAAACCATCATACACCTCGTTTATTAGTTTATATACAGCTGTGTGTGTATGGTGTGTCTGTTGGACTGAACCTTGGGTCTAAAAGTAATAATCAAATATAAATCAAACACACAAACTCCTTGCAATTAATATTACTTTTAATACCTAGACAATTTAATAATTCAGTAATGAAATATTTAGACCTGACAGGGTCTGAAGATTTGTTGTGTAACAAAAAACAATTCAAATAAAATATTATTTTTTTTTTAGATCATTTTGTCATTTTAACTCTCGTGTTTATGTTTGTTATGTTATCACATTCTCTTGATCTTACATTATATTTGTAACAGTGGTTCCTTGACTTTCGCGGGTCCGACTCTCACTTATCATGGTGTTGCGACAGAATTTCGGTGTGCATAAATATGTCGTTGGGTACGAGTGTCACTTCTCCTGTATCTTGGTGTTAGATTTTGTTACGGTGTTATATGTTTCCTATGAAAATGGTGATTAAGACATACAACGTAAATTTACATATATATACCAACGTTTTCTGTATGATTGATTAGTATAATTACAGTTTTAGCTGTAATCTTTACACTAACATACAGTTTTTCATGTAATCTTTACATTTAATTCTATTATTTTATTCTAGCTTTCTTTCAATTCTTTTCTCCACAAAAGTCTTATCTCCCCTTAGCTTATGACATTTTGTTGCTATTCTATAAAAACACAATGAATCAACTACCACTAATGATTAACTAATTGGTTCAATATTTGATTGCTTCATGTATTGTCATCGATCATGAGCATATTTGTAAAGTTTGATGATTGGGTGAGTAGATCTAGTAGTGGATGAACGATCCATTGCAATAAAGCTAACACACTCACATCCCAGAAAATATAGTCAGTAAATGTAGGTGTTGTAGTATTTGTTTTGAATTGAACATAGTGAAAGTCAAATGGTGTCCACTTTATATTCTTTTCTTTCTTTAAAAAAAACATGCAGTTTAGTTTTAGAATGAGGAAAACTAGGCAGCCACCGGGGGCCTCTAATTGGTGGGCGCCTCACAGAGGATTCGAAGATTTTTTTAAGGAAAAAAATCTGAACTCTATCTCTATGTCTACTTGTCTAGCTTGAAGTCTCTACTATGATTCAAGGTATATTCAGATCTGCTTGTCTCTACTATGAAGTATCTACTATGATTTAAGGTTTATTCAGATCTACTTGAAGCCTCTAATATGATTCAAGGTTTATTCAGATCTACTTGTCTAGTTTGAAGTCTCTACTATGATTCAAGGTTTATTCAGATCTACTTGTCTAGCTTGAAGTCTCTACTATGATTCAAGGTATGTTCAGATCTACTTGTCTAGCTTGAAGTCTCTTCTATGATTCAAGGTATATTCAGATCTACTTGTCTAGCTTGAAGTCTCTACTATGATTCAAGGTATATTCAGATCTACTTGTCTAGCTTGAAGTCTCGACTATGATTCAAGGTATGTTCAGATCTGGTTGTTAAACTACAATATGTTAGAAGTCCATTGTTTCTTCCTTTTGCTAAAATATTGAAGCCTTATTTTTAGTCTGGTGACCATGACGCACATTTGTGCTATCGGAGCTCTATGAATTTAATTTATTTGTTGATTTAGATCTAGATACCCAGTACAGAAAGGTTTTTACTTTAGTTGAACATTTTTGTCTTAATTTTTTTTTTCATATGGGACCACTTTATTCACTTTGCCAAGAGTCACTGGCCAATGAGAAACTTCACAAGGAAATGTTTCGCTAGTTCTAAACAATTATTGGACAGTGTCAAAAGTTGAACATTGAAGCCATTAAGATAAAAGTACTAGTTAGAACTTCAAAATAATGACCAGCTTATTCTCATTTGAAAATTCAATAGAAAATTTATTTTAACTACAAATTGAAATTATTCTAGACATTTGATCTTGCATTTTTTAGTTCTATTATTCTAGAAGTTAATCTTAAGTACAAACAAAGAAAATAAAAGACCAACTATACTTTTGTATTGTTCATATAAATTGTATAATTTGTATCAATTACTTTGCTGAATGAAATCAAAATGGAACATCTGTATAGCAACAAATAACTGTATAGTCACACACACACAAATATTGCTAGGGAAATGAAGACTTGACTCTTCAAACACACACTTATTCACAGTGACAATATTTCTCACAAACTTTGTGTTGGCAGTCAACAAAAATTGTCTATATTGGCAGCAGATACAAAGTCAATCAGTTGGAAGTAGTTGACTGTGTATATTGGTCAGGTATTTCAGTCTTCCTATGTACAGAAACAAAAAGATGAATAAGAGTGTCTTCTGGGGAACAAAGACAATTGCAGTGTTTTGAACTTCTAGTCAACAAAGCTCAGTGTACTAGCTTATTGCTTTCTGATCACACACCACACAAATCACATTGACTGGTTTGACTTCTTCACCTTACTATTTTTTACTCACACATTGACAGGTCTGACTTATTCACCTTACTCATACAGTCAGTCCATTGGAATAAAAGAAAAAAAAAACTGTACACAATAAATACACTTGGTAGTCACTAGGTCAACTCTATTTACACAAGCACAGCCTTCCATCAAGTCATGGTACACACACAAACACATGTGGCATTACACACATTCACATCAGTCTTCACACACAACCGTATCTCAATTACACACACACACATGTGCCACTAGCACGCACACACAATGGTGTTGGCCCTGCCCTCTGCAGACACAAACACATCAGCAAAGAATTGACACAGAGCTAAAACATTAGTCCAATTCAAAGTTCAAGTGTTCAATGGAACTGAATCCCAGTCCTGTCACACAAACACACATGTACAGGAATGGTGTCCTGTCACACAAACACACATGTACATGAATGACCATCATGTCCGATATGTTGAAGAGATTTGGGGGTGACCATCAACTCAATGATTTCCCCTTGACCTAGTTGACCTTCACTAGAGAGAAGTAATTGGCTAACATCGGGGGGGGGGGGGGGATAGAAGCCAAAACAGTGTCCAGAAGATTGAGTTAGTTCAAAATGCCATTAAGCAGTAACGAAGGTCTAAATGTCATTGAAGCCATTCAGTAAACTATCCATTTGTATAATTGAAAAGACTATTGTATACATCTGTGTCTCTACCACATGGACTCTTTTGTATTATGATAGAACTTGGATTGTCTCCCCTCTAGTTCTCAATATCTAGTCAAATCTAGTGAACAAAATGTACATTTAAAATGCAATAGAATCTTTTTGTTTTCTATTTCTAAAAGTTACTCACCAAAACAAAATGAATGTTCAACAAAAATGAAGTAGCTTCCTTGTTAAAAAGTAAACATTAACAAGTATACAAAAATATTAAAAGTAATGACCAGGTTGGATTATAAATGTTGATTTTTACTACCAGAACATTGACTTAATCCTAGCATACCAATGTCCTCAGCCTAATGGGAACAGTATGAAAAAAACAACAACAGTACTTTCCAGTGCTGAGTTTCTAGGACTTCCCTAATAATCAGTATGTATAGTGTAATGTATAATCTAATGTATTTCTAAGGTTGGCTATGACAGAATGAGTTCTACTTTAAACAAATGTAAAATTTCAGATGTTGCATAGATATTAAAATTTTTGTTTCCTGTAGTTCACTGTCTCCAAGTTTTCATGTAATACACAAGAAACAGAGGCAGAAATAAAAATCTTCACACATACACACACTACTTCCTTAGACATGCACTAGTAGTCCAGGAAATAGGTCAAATGTTTGACTCATTTCATTAACAAAAAAAAACAAAAAACCCACAAGAGAATAAAAAAGATCATTGCATAAATTAAGTGACACAAGATTGCAGTAAAAACCAGAGAAACTCGTCTCTTCAGCATGAGTCAGTTCTACAGGAACAAAAAGAAATTACAAATTGACAAAAGTGCTTCACAATATAAAACTCAATAACAGTCTCTAATGGTCTAATAAAATATGATTGAGTTTATAAGACATTGTCTGAAAGAACATCAACCTAACAACCTACAAACACACACATGAACTTAATAAAACATTTTCCCTTCACATGAGCAGACAATTGAACTTCTGGACTCTACACTTCTACTATATACAATTCATCACTAGACAGTATAACATTCAGGCTAAATAGTCAAGACCAATGTCTTCATAGAGTTTTATTTCTTTGTATACAACTGAAAAGTAGAATGTCAACAAAACAAAGAAATAACTAGACATAAAACAATAAGCAATTAAGTAACTTGCCATAGAGGGGGATTCACTGACCTCTGGATATAAAGAAGATTAAGACTTGAAGTTTCCAACTTGTGGAATGTTATGGACTCCCCTGAGAGGAGCATTTAGTCAGTTTGATAGGTCCATACTGTTTGGACAGACTAGCTGGCACCATTGTGCTGTTACAATCTAAGCATTAACATTTAAAAATCTATTAAACTGTGGAGTTCTATGTCAAACACAGTGGCTGAATGACATACCATGTAAGATCCACAGAGACATCAAGACTCAATTACTCGAGGTTTTAAAATTGTATAGAAAATGTTACAATTAATAGTTTTTTTTATTGATAGAAAGATATTTGATGGAAAAAAGGGTGGGGGGGGGGGGGGATGTTTTGAATATTGTTGACTAGTCATGATGATATGGTTGTTACAAACTGTAAATATTTCTCAATATTATATGTATAAAAAATAAACAACATGGATTATTAAGAGAATCTTCCCTTCGGTTAGTTTCATAGTAATATCTGTTGACCTTAGAGTAAAATTGGACATAATATTTGATACAGTCAATGTCTAAAATGTGACCCTCAATCAATTTTGCAGTATGGCTCAACATGAGAGTCTAATTGTTATGTACAAAAATAATGTCAAGGCCAAGACAGCTTTATGAGAGATGTGAATTAAAACATCCAAACAGCACAGGAGTATTTTGAACTGAATGGTTGGGTTCTGCTACTCAGTATCTCTCAATGACAGCCACAAAGTCCAGTGAACACCAGTCCTTAAGGTTTCTATCACACTCACACTTGTCAGTTTCTTGAGAAGACTTAGCCCCTTCACAAGTCAATAGAAATATCACGTGTCTCATCCATACAAAGATATGTTCCTTATGTAGTCACATGTCAGCAAATTATCCAACAGCAGGTGTCAAGGGCAGTCCATGACACCAATTTTGACTGAAAAAGTTTTGAATGCAGCAACATAATTTTGGCTGTAGAAAACTGTCCACTAGAGCCTAGCCAGTAGAGACTAGACTAAAGCAGCTTGGGCCATGTTTTGTTGTAGTCCATCTCCTGTTTGTGCTCGGAATGTCTGGATGCTGTTCATGATTTTCTTCTGATGGCCTACCAGGCTAATGCCCATGTTGAGTAAATCCCTGACTGTAAGATGCCTCACCTAGAAAGAAATTTTGTTCATAAAATGAATTGATAAACTGATTTCAAGTAAGACAATTATGGACATAATTATCAATTATTTCCTTTGTCCAATCAATAAATTGAATTGATTATAAAAGAGACCAAAGAAGAATGCTTGCCATGTAATAAAAAACCTGTAGATGACGCAAAATATTTTGGTTGCAAATTTAATTCTAGTTTGACTTTGAAGAAAGGAGATCTTATTTAAATTAAACTTTATTTTGATTTCAGTTGATGGAGGTCTCTAGTTTCTGTCTTAGTTTCAAACTGTATTCATACAAGAGACAAGTTGGTTTTGGGCCAGGTTTTTTTTTTCCATAAGTCTGAAGTTCTTAATAAGTTATTTCTGTGTATTTAGTTTTTGCATTTTAATTTGAAATAGTGTGTGTATTAATTCTATTTTTTTGATTATTAAGTAATTTAATAAGAAACTTTTTTAAAATTGATTTTTTAACGATTCTACTATTTTTGACAAGGCTTGGATGTTCAGTCACCAAACTTACTGTTTAGATATACACAATTGTATTTACCAAGTATTACCAACATCATAATTATAAATACTGTAAAAAAAAAAAACATGAGAAATATAAACAATGTTCTAGAGATTTCATAAATTGAAACAGATTTAAAGATGGAACATAAGTTCTGTACTTTTCTGTATTAGGTGCACATCTTCACCATGTAGCAATGTTAATCATTGTTCTTTTGTTTTTTGTAATTCATTCCTTTCTTTGATCTTGGAACTTCAAGCTGCAATTTAGCTTTTTGTGTCTTTTGGGGCAGCGCTGTTTTTGGTCCCCGATCTCAGGTAAGTTTATCTATTTATATCCACTTGTAAGGGATTGTTTTTGTAGCTGAAGTTTATATATGCCTCAAATATTTAAGGAACCAGTTGTAGGCCAGCTTTAGAGCTTGTATTTGTTTACGACTGTATCACCCTGTGTGAAGTTAACAAATAGTGTGCCTGGTAGTGTATGAGTTATCAGTAAGTTATCACAAGGTGTGATTGGTAAATTATTTAATGTTGATGTCCATATATAACTAAATAATTATGAGTTGATTAGCTTCATATGTATATAATTAATTTACCATCCTATAACTCATGCCGGATCATGTCATGGTAGATTCTCATTATAAACTAAATATTTAGAATGCTAAACCCTTGGCTTGAATGACTTTCAATGTCATGTTTGAGTTAAAGGTTGAGAAGAACTGTCAGTGGGCTTAGCCAATGTCCCATACAGAAAACTGACACTGGATGGATGTCATTATAAACATTGCAAACAAATTTGATGTGAATAATTAGATTTGATTGCAACTGCCCAATGAAATTAAACAAGTCTTGAAGGAAAGGCTCAGAAGATGACACTTCTGAAAGTGACTTACTTTGTCCATGGTAGTTAGTCCTGCATTTTGAAACAATCCCAGATACCTTTCCATCTTGATTGTCTGCAGCCATTCCTCCACACTTAACAGTGAACTCATGTCTGGAGAACTGGGGTCAATGAAGTTGTGAGGTCTGGTAGACAATACAAAATTAAAAAACAAAAGTTGTATAGATGTTACAGTTTGCTTCCATGAGGGAAGTGAATTAACTCAAAGTTTATCTACTTAGCATTGTTAGTAGCAGTAGACAAGTTTCAATACATTGTATGAAATGAGCACAATACCTTGGCTTTGCTTGTTTTCTCAGTAATTCAGGAGCTCTGATTAGTTTATCCAATGTCTTGACTATCTGTCCCAACTTTGGTCTATGAGAGCGTTCTTTCTGCCAACAATCTAACATGAGCTGGTGAATGGCCTCGGGACAGTCCTACAATGTCAAATACATTAATGTTACATCTATCTCTTAGGGTACAACTAGACATTAGTTAACTGAAACAATAAAAAAACAACATCTTTCTAAGTCTATCATTCAACTAAAAACTATGTAATAAAACAAATTTATCCAATCAAGTTGAAGATATATTTACCATTGGAGGTGGGAGCCTGTAACCTTTCTCTACAGCTTTTATAACATCTTGGTTGGACCAATTGTAATATGGGCGTTCTCCGTAGGACACTATTTCCCACATGACCACACCATAACTCCAAACATCTGATGCCGATGTGAACTTGCGAAAAGCAATAGCCTCGGGTGCAGTCCACCTGACAGGTATTTTACCCCCTGTTGTAGTGTAGGCTCCTTCTGTTGTATCAGATTCTATTTCTCGAGAAAGTCCAAAGTCAGCAACTTTACACACAAGGTTTTCATTCACTAAAATATTTCTTGCTGCCAGATCCTGGATAAGAAAGTTGCTGATTAGTTATTGCATCAAATGGATACGCTCTCATACAATGAATCAATTTCTAAATTTTCCTATCAAATGTTTGCATTGGATAAAACAAAAAATTAACATCTGTAGTGGATGTAATTAATATCTGTTGTTTACTTTTCGGGGCGCTGTGGCTGAGTGGTAAAGCAATTGGCTACTGAACCAGGGGTCCAGGGTTCATACCCCAGTGAAGACTAGGATTTTTAATTTTGAAATTATAAGGGCACCTCTGAATGTATTCAGTTCTAATTGGAATCAGACATTAGTTGGGGAGAAGTAAAGGTCATTGTGCTGACCACATGAAACCCTAGTTAACACTGGGCAACAGAAACAGATGACCTTTAAATCATCTGCAAGGTGACTTACTTATAAGAAGCTTTTCTTGTGAGAAGGCTCTAATATTTGTTATTCAAGATTCTAATGTTGTTATTATAGGCTCTAATGTTTGTTATTCAAGATTCCAATGTTGTTACAATAGGCTATAATGTTTGTTATTCAATATTCTAATGTTTTTACAATAGGCTCTAATGTTTGTTATTCAAGATTCTAATGTTGTTAATGATGAAATAAGTTAAAGGTTTTATTCCAAGTTTTTGTTTCACTGTAGGACTAGTCAGAATTCATAACTCCATGTGATAATCTTCATATTTAGCTATTGCAAATGTCTACCCCCATGTGATAAACATTGAACTGGTATGGTCAACAATTAGCAATTAACATAAAGTAAGTCTAGGCTTGTAATATGCCTAAAATTGATCCATATTTTTGGTTGACTTAGACTCTTAGCTTAGGTGTCAGAATCTTATTAAGAAGAATGGTTTTACTTCAATTGAATAAGAAAAAGAGAGCTGGATTGATAAGAAAAAGAGAGCTGGATTGATAAAAAAAAGAGAGCTGGATTGATAAGAAAAAGAGAGCTGGATTGATAAGAAAAAGAGAGCTGGATTGATAAGAAAAACTAAAAGAAGAAAAGGCATGGCTCAGCATTAAGGAACTCAGCATAGAAGATAATTAAGTTTAGGGGTTACGGGCTGGTAGGATTAAGTCTATTAAGTTTATTCTGAATTTGTATGTTGACAAATGTGCACTTATGTGAGCCTAGTTGAGTCTATGTGAGCTTTGTTGAATCTATGTGAGCCTATAAACTTGATTGGTGGACAGTCTCCTCTCCATCCATATGTTAGCACACATTTCACTGCTTTCGTTGATTCTTTAGACTGGCATGAGATTTCTTCTATAAACTTGTTATGCACATCTCTGCAAGCTTTATGTCAGTCAGGTTCCTCTTTCAGACCATGAGATCGCCAGGAAAGCTTTATGTTAAAGAAAACTCTACTCACTCTATGCACAAATCCCATCTCAGACAAATACTTCATCCCAGAGGCCACTCCTCTCATCATGCCCACTAATTGGATGATGGTAAACTTGCCATCATTATTCTAAGGAAGAGAGACATTCAAGACATTTAGTTCATCATTCAAGGCAACAGTTAGTGCTCTATCTATTTGATTATCACTATCTATTTGGTCTTCACATTACTAAACATGGTAGTATTTTGCTCATAATAACTTACTCTGAGAAATGTATCTAGTGATCCGTTGGCCATGTATTCTGTCACTATCATGATTGGATTACCTGATAAGACAAACATCATTATTAGTGGACATCTAGTGACAGACAGTTTGGAATGTACATTCAAGATACTAGACGCACATGAAAACTTTTGAAAAACACAAAACAACTAAAATTAAAAGCTAAAAAAAAAATGTCTGTTATACAAACAAGAAAAAACAACAAAAAAATTTAAAAAACAAAAGCTTATATTAAGTGTCATTGTATAAACTAGTATGGATCAATCATGTA